TCCGGGACCGCGACCCGCTTGAGCACAGCCAGGTCGGTCCCGTTGACGGGGGCCGCCAGCTTGACCAGATATACATGTGCGAAGCCGCCCTCGGAGAGGTATTTCTGAATCACCACGCGGTGGTTGCCGACCTGAATCTTGGTGCCGGGGGAAAAGGTGCCGGCTGGTGCGCCGGGGACGCTCCCTGGCATGGGTGCCCCGTAAGGGACTGCGGGCCGCGCCGCTGCCGGCACCGCCGCCTGGCCGTACGAAGCCATGACCGTGAATCCTCCGATGGCAGCGTGTTCGGTGAGTGGTGAAGAATCGGGGAATGCGGTTTCGGGGCGGTTGAGACCTAGAAAAAGGGGGCGGTCGGCGTTCGGGGCGGTGAGGGGAGGGAAACAGCTGGACACGGGAGACGGCGAACGGAAACGGGGAGCGACTGGTTCGCGGGGGGGGGGGGGAGAGGTGGACTTGGGCGGAGTAGGTGTTGGCAAGCGACTTTCAGGGCATCGATGTGAATTCGGTTTCGCGGGGGAGGGGTTGCTGCCTACGCTACGTGCCGCATGGCCGAGCTGTTCGACGGTTCAGCAAAGAGTTAGGTGTCGTTTTCTTTAGTAGTGATCTTGGAGGATGACGACAAACGTTGCGGCTGGGCAGAGGCTGAATTCGAGGTTGTCGTGCTGCTCTCTCTCTGCTGCTCATCCAGGTACCGCCTGAAAGACAGCCCTGGGACAATGCCAATGCCAGGCAGGTCAGTGCTGACCTACACCTCACTGCATACGGACAACTCAGGTGGAGCCAGCTGGCAAGGGATGGCTTGGCATTCCCCCAGACCCCAGTTCAGGGGGGGCCACTTCAGGAGAGGAGCCACCACATCAACGACACCTCACCACAACAACAGGGCAGCCAGGAATTGGATTCAGGCATCAAACGATATCTCTCGCGGCCCGATATTGACTGTTTTATTATTGTCTTGAACTGGGTCTCATGGAACAGAACACACTCCCAAAGTAAAAGACGTAAAAGACGTATAAACCGATAGCTTTGGACACAACTGATTAGGTAGGTACTCTATATAGACTCATCCCAAGAAGAAGATAACTACATCTCGTCTTCAAATTAATCATCGTCTCCCAAATCAATGCCACCACAGGCGGATCCCTCAACATGACATCCTCATACACAACATGGTATCAAGTCATAAATTCCAACAAACCGACATTTCCAACACTGTACACATCCATGAACGCTATCCCCAACGCCTGTCCACGCCTCAAATCATCATTCAAAACCCCCAGCAAACTTGACGAGACATCCAGTGGTGAACCCCTGATACGAAAGAAACATTCGCGACCAGTTCAGAAGAGAGCTCCCAGAATTGTTTTCCAGATCGGCTTCTTCTCCTTTGGCTCAATATTGGCGAGATCTTGGAATTTGGCGTCCGTCTTCAGATCGATGGCGTGCAGAGGCGTCTGCAGCCTCCAGCTCCCCGTCCGGATCTTCCAGCCGAGCCAGAGAACGAGCATGACGGGTGTGGCCAGGTAGCCCTGGAAAAAGGACTCAACCGTTTCCGCTACGGTGGCGTCTTTGTGAGGAGGCTAGTTATGAAACAAAGTCAGCGAACTTCATCTTTGATGATTGATGGCAACAAGACAAAAAAAAAAAAACCCGACCTTGATGCAAGTGTAGAAGGAAGCCACGAGACAGAGGCCGTTGAAAATGAGGGCAACCCAGCTTCCCCAGACACCACCTGATGGCTTGTAGGGAATCAGGTCAAGCGACAGGCCCTGAACCTTCATGGCCCTCCGGAAGCGGATGTGCGCAAGGCAAATCGAACCCCAGATGAAGAAATATGTCACTCCGGTGACGGCAAGAAGCCAGTCGAATAACTTCATGCCAGCCTTATCTGGCGCCAGCCCGATGTAGGCAAGCAGGGCAAACAGGAGGAGTACGATGGTGCACCGCATAGGACGGCCGTGGCTATCAATCTTGGCCAGGTACTTGGGTGCCATGCCGACTTGGGCCATGGCCTGGACAGTGCGTGTGAAGCCAAACGTGGACGAGTTGGCGACGCTGATGACAGCAATCGTGATGACACCGTTCATGATGTGTGGGAGAACCTGGATTCCGGCATCCTGGATCGCTAAAACGAATGGCGATGCTTTGCTGTTGGCGCCACTTGACCCGAGAAGTCGAGGATCGTCGGATCGCATGATAAGGCCCATGATGAAGAGGTTGAGGGTGTAGAAGAAAGCAATACGCCAAAAGACCTGCTTGCAGGCCTTGGGGACCGACTTCTCTGGCCTCTCCGACTCGGCCGCCGCGAGACCGGCCAGTTCGGTGCCGCCGAAAGAGAAGGAAGCGATCACAAAGACACCAGCAAACCCCTCAAAGCCGTTTCTGAAAGCACCCGGATCGCTCCAGTATTTTGTGCCCAGGTATCCCTGGTTTCCCACAGCGCCCGTGTTGATGACGATGCCGAGAATGATGAAGCCACAGCAGGCCGCGATTTTGATGACGCTGAGAATACATTCGACTGTTTACTGCATCAGCACGCGAGCTCCTTTCTTTGCGGAGGTAGGGGAGACAAACCTTCGCCATATCCTCGAACTCCAAATATCTGAATAGTAGCCAGCACTACCAGAAACATGGTCACCCAGACTCCCATGCTGATTGTTTCGTTCCAGTATTGTATCGTAATTGACGCCGCAATGAGTTCAAAGGGGAGGATAATCAGCCACGTCAAAGCGTAGCCCCAGCCGATGGCAAAGCCCCTGAGACAAGACTGTTAGTAACCACCAATTTATCACATATAAAATAAACAGTGGACTTGCCATGTCGGATCGAGGAATCGTAAACAGTGTTCGAAAAAGGCGCCATTAGAAGGATATACAACAGACAGCTCGGCGAGAGCTTGGCAAGTAAATAACATCATTACTCCGATGAGGGTGTAGCAAATAAGCTCGGAACAGAGTTAGCTTGCGTCGCCTCTATGCACAAGATGGATGTACTCACCACACTGCCTGGTCCACCGGTTGACAACGCCTTTCCAGACCCGATGAAAAGACCAGCGCCAATGGCACCACCTGAAGGCAAACGACATTTGTCAGAATTGAGTCGGCTGTGCGCGAGCTGGGGGACATACCCATGGCAATCATCTGCAAATGCCTGTTCTTGAGAGCCTTCTTGAGCTGTCCGTTCTCGACCGGAGCCATTTCTCCCAACTCCTCGTCCCGGCTGCTGGAGCCGGAACGAGTGTCCCTCACCATCTCCTTGGTGCCGACCTTCTCTGGTCCAGCCATGTTGACGTTTCTTGTTCTTGATAATCTCAAGGACTAGATGGTGTAGGTGTCGGGGCGGTCTCGGAACGAAGATGGGACATAAATGGCCTGGGCGAAGAAAACCAGCAGATCAGTCGAGGAAGGGGGGTAGTGGGATATTAGTAGAAAGGAGTCTGGTGATGCCGCCACCAAGATGATAAGAGGAATTATGGTTTGATATCTGGCAGACTAAGAACCCCTGGCGTTATGTTGGTGTCATGGGGTCGAAGATAGCCAAGAAAAAGAACCGGACAAGAAGGAGTAGAAGATAGCAAGAGATAGGTTGCCGAACCCTTGGGCCTGGCCTCCATATACGTCGTCCGCGGTCGGGAATCAGTTGGTAGATTGGGGATGACTGGCAAAACGACCCTCCGGTTTCTATTCTGGACCGGAGCCTTTGTGCCAGTTTACCTAGCCAACACACATTTTCGGTAGGGCCGACTCTTGAGCTCTCTCCTTATCATGGCAGGTGTCAAGTCAGGTCTTCCCGAAGACGGACGTAAGGTTTGGACGGTGCAGTGACACCATCCTGACAGATCCTGATTTCTCCGCTGCTCCCCGCTTAAGTTTGCCAGTTCAGATGTCACTCCGTCTTGACAGAACCCCTCCTCTCGGCCGATAGAACTAAGCCAAAGCGCCACTCTTTTGAAATGCCTAGATGTTCACTGGCTGCCAGTCTAGCTACCGGCACTCCCTGAACCAGGAACGGTCCTCTACCAGTTCTCCGTCCGTCTATTTATCATGGCTCAGATGGAAAATCAGCTGTTGGCTCAGACCGTCGACTTCATCGAGCCCTTGGTAATATCTCGACGGGGAGCCTTGAACGGCAGCTACTTGATAAGAGAATCGAGCACGCTCAAATCCCCCTGAGCGGAGATGGGAAACTGTCAGCCAGAATCAAGCAACACTATGCGAGAAAAATGCTGTTCCCGTTGTGTTCTTTCAATTCCATCAGTTTTCCCCATCGAGTCCCAGACAATATACCTATTCCGGTTCCATCCCATCCCGACTTGTTTTCCACCAAGAACGCCACGAACCATATCCATCCCTTGGGTCCAGCCCAGATAGCAACGACTTCTGAAATCACTATTCTTATCTCGCCACAACGTTGCACACTCTTCTTTTTTTCATGATGCAATAGACTGCAATCTCCAACCCTAGATATGGCCACCTGTCCCATACGGCTCTTCCCCATCCACAAGCTCCGCGACCCAAGGAAAAGGATCAAGCCATTGATATCATACCTCGGTCGAACTGATACAAGGAAGGGGGCCTCCTCCATCTCGGCGTTAAGACCGGTCCGAAGCTCCCTTAAGGCATCGCCAGCCCGCCCGGTCCATCAGGACGACGTTGACAGGAATGGTTTACCTCCGGTACCCGTGACCCCGGGCTTTCCCCATGTCTCCGGGGCTCATCAGATGGGGAAATCACCAGAGACTACATCAGAGCAATGCTCACCAAGGAAGAGGAACAGACTTCAACAGAGCCCAGACAGCAAGGACTCCTTATCCCCCATGCGATAGATAACAAAAAGAGAATCCCACACCATGACCAAATCTTGCATCCATCTTGACACGCCCGATCATCAACCAACTCCATACCACAGTGAAAAGATCTTCAGCCTATCTATCATGGACAAACAAAAATGAAGAAGAGGCAAAAAAGAAACCCATCACCAAGTGATGAACCCATAATCAATGGACGAGCTGGGAATCGAACCCAGGACCTTTCGCATATCCGTTTTCAACCCCCAATCTTTCGATCAGGAATCGTGAAATATGCTAAGCGAACGCTCTACCAACTGAGCCACACGCCCCTGTTTTACTTTTCATGTCTCCTGTCTCCAGATTATCCCCTCTTACCTCCCAGGGTGTTGGGTAAGGTCGGTACCGACCTAGGTGGAGTTATCCTGCTGTGGAGAGACTTAGGGCTTTCCCCAATCCACCATCTCCCTGCCACAAAGCTTATTTTCTGGTGATGGGTGGGCGACGACTTCAAAAGTCTTGACTCATGCTGGACTCCACCGCCCATATAGACTCAAACTAAGCAATTCTCAAACATCAATTCAAAAAGGGCCGCTGGTCTAGTGGTATGATTCTCGCTTAGGGTACACCCTAAAGCATTGCTTGCGAGAGGTCCCGGGTTCAATCCCCGGGTGGCCCCAATGTAACGACCATCTCCTCCTAGAGGAGAAATCTTATTTTTTGTTTCTTTTCTCTCCCAACCAGGAACTGATCTTTTTTGCCTACTGTTCTTGTTTCTCATACAAGGTTTGGGATGGGAAGAAAGAATACAAGCATCAGTAATCACGAGGTGACTCGTCACCTCTTCATTTCGGTTCCTCTTTACAAAGACTACATTATCAACACGCCATATAATTTTGATCTTCCACCAATCCTTCCTTCTCCCACCACATCTCTTCCGCTCATGGAGCCGGAGGAACACCCGGACTAACCACCCCCTCACCCTGTCCTCCCGTCACCACCCCTCCCCTCGGCTTCGTAATCTCAAAAAACTCCGTCAGCCCCTTCACCACCACATCCACATTCATATTAATCTGCGGCATCTTCTCATAGCTCCCCTCCTTCATGATCGCCACCAGCGCCAGGAACCTGTCCACCTCCCTCAGCATGATCGGCCTCTGCGCATCAGCCAGCACCATCCCGCTCTCGGCCCACTCGCACGCCACCTGGTCCTCCAGCGGCTGCGCCCAGGGCTCCCCTTCCAACCTGTCCCTCCACTGTTGCGTCCTCGGCCAGCTCCCGTAGACTTCGGTAAAGTCGATGATGACGTCCACGTAGTCGGAGCAGATCTCGTAGCTGGCCATGTCCTCGGGGGTCGAGTCTGTTGCGATGTAAATCTTGGTGTTCACATCAAACAAATACGCCTTTTCGAACCGGCACGTCCGGCACAGGTTCGTCAGCATCGCCTCCAGCTGACCCAATCTGGGGATAAGCTTCTGGATGACCTTGCTAAAGGCCTCAAAGATGCTGTGGTTGTAGATGCTGGTGAGATGGAAGTTGACCGGGGCGTTCTCAATCCCCTGGTCGGACAGTTCGTCTTGAATCCGTATCGTTACGTCGCGCTGGATGTCCAGCTTGTAGTCGTCACTAAGGCCGTCGACCTTGTGGATGAATACTTCAATGTTGATGTGAGGGTAGCTTCTTTGGACATGGAGAATCGTAACGTTCAGCCGGGCTACTGCTTCGAGGTAGTCGTCTTGGGCATCAATGACCCAAATCAAGGCCCCGATTTCGCCAAAGATGGCATCCATGTCGAAGGAATAAGCTGGGTTCTCGAAGATGTCGATCTGACCTGGAAAGTCCCAGACTTGAAACTCCATGAAGGAGCTTAAAGTTGTCAGCTGATAATCAACACTGAGGTTGCTGTCTCCGAACACTTACTTGAGACTGTCTTTTTGGATTCTGGCCGTTGACTCGAGAAACAATGTCTCGCTCGCTGGCAACTTGTGAAACACCACGCTCGAGATGGACGATTTCCCACTCCTGAAACGAACACATGGTCAGCCACAGTTCCACCACTCAATGGAAGCCCAGGCTCCATACCTTCTTTGCCCCATCAACAACAGACGAGGCTTCCCCTTCGTCTGGGGCGTCGTCGGATCAGGCACTTTTGGCCCATCCTTTTTCTGGATTCGTTGCCGGTTCTGCTCATAAACACGAGAAAGATTTAGCGCTGCTGGACTGATAAACCTGACTGGACGAGGGCGCAGAGGCTCCGTGGACAGATCCTCTCCGCCATCCCCCGAAGCACCACCGCCATTGTCACCGGTAGAAGCCATGATGGAACAGAACAGAGTAAGGCCAGGCAAGGTGTCTTGAGAGAGAAAAAGAGGGAGCCCCTGAAGTAGATAAAGCAAGTCTCCCCTCCGTCGCCGCCCTTGCATGCCCCCAAGAAGCAAGCAAGCAGTCACACGGGTAGGTAGAGACCCAACCCTCGGTATCGACGAGCCCTTTCGTTTGCAAACTGTCTAAACAGTCGATCGGGATTGGCCAAGCCGGGAGCTGCTTGCTTGCTTGCTTCTGAACCGGCCGAGAGACGGGAAGCAGAAGTCGACACAGAGATAAGACAACGGAACTGTGCTTGTGATGAAGTGGTAGGCAGGTCTGATGTGGCTTTTCGCGGTTCGACGCATGTGCATTGTCTGTGGGAGAAACAAAAGGCTCTCACAGCATCTGCCTGTTGCTGGCTGCAAAAACGACGAGCTGGTGGTGTTGCGCTGGCCTCTAACCGGCGAGACGAGCTCACCTCTGGTTGGCACCATATCCGCACATGGCCTCCATTTTTCTTTGTCGCCTCCTGAACTTTTGCTGGTCTGTGTTTCTGTGTTCCTGTCTGACAAGAGGATGAAAAGAAAGAGAGGGAGCCAAGGGGATGATGAGAGAAATGGGACCACCGCACTGACGGAAAGAGGCAAAGTTGCGGTCAGAAGAAGCCCATATAATACTCAACTAGGTAAGAGCGAGGCATGACAGCATATAATCCCAATCCATAAAAAAAATAGAAACCGGCACAGTTCGAGCCGGCCCAGTCTTATGGTCGCACAAGCACTTCCCGATTCCAGCAAGTTGGACCCATGGCTCGGCCGGAATGTCAACCCAAGTGGTCATTCAGTGACGACAGGGGCAATACAGACAGCAGATAAAAGAGTTTCGGGTAACTCACTCGCTGAAGAGACATTTCTTCCAATGTTGGACACCCGAGATTTCTGCTGCCTATACTTTGCGTTTTGCCTGGTCGTCTGCCTGCCTGCCTGCCCGCCTGTTCCCGCTTATCCGTTCATCCGCCACTGCTGTGAGGCCGGTGTGACACTTGCCTGACGAAGATGACGAAGAGGCGTCACTCTTTGGTCGGAAATCCGAGGATTGGTGGTGAGTGAAGAAGCCAAAACCAGACCGGCGGTGTCCGCGTCCAGGGGTCCAGGGGTAAACTGTTGGTTGCGGCGGCAAAAGAGGAACAGACGGAAAATCCCAAAACTTGGAAAATGCCCCCAACGGTGCTGGTTTTGCTTCTAGAACAAGATGGACCAACGAAACAGAAAGACAAGACCCCTGTGTAACTCGGTGATGGGAAAGGGCTAGCTGCGCAACGAAGCAATCACCTTCTCAAGGGAAAAGTGCTAGGAGAAGGAACAAAGCAAGACCCGGCGCTTGCAGGGATCGTGGCTTGTTGTAAGATGCTGTGGTGTATATGTGCTGTGCTGTGATGACGGAGGGCTGTGATGAAGAATAAATGCTTGCCCTTACCTCCATGTTGAATAGGTATCTGACGAGACACACACGCTTGACCTCTTGGGCACCCCGGTTCCTCCAAATGATCAGTTGGTCGAATTGAGGCACCAGAAACGAGGAGGATATGTTGAACTCGAAGATCGACTATAAAAGCTCAAATAGGCCAGCCAGGCTGTGGTGTCAGTTAGTGAGCTGCAGGTGAGCAAGGTCAAGTTTAACGAATAAGACAACATCTCATCATTGTGAGGCTGGAAAGCTCGACTCACCGGTGTCTTTGTGCAAATTGGTTGATATAATCGACGTGAGATGGTGTTAATTCGTCGTTGGGGGAGGATTTGTTTGCCTAGTCCTCAGTTGAGCTGGTGTGATGATCAATCATCGGTGAAGCTCAGTCGATAACGCCTTGCTTTGTTGAATCAACCCCGCAGGTGAAGCGCTGCCAGCTCGGTTGCTCTCAAGCTCCAGGTTTACCTATGGGAAGCTCAGGTCGTCTCAAACCCCGCAAGCAGATCCTAGGTTGTGGGAATGTTTACGACCAGCCTCTCGCTATATCATGAACTTTATCGCGAGAAAAAGAAAAGAATATCGATAAGGCTGTGCTGTGGTGAGCTGTGGTGAGCTGTGGTGTATGCAATTAGCTGTCTCAGGGCCAGTAGGTGTTCAGTCCAAGGCGCCAATCATCCATGGTGAGTGACACTCACCGAAGCGGGCTACTGCGGGGTGCTGCCAGCGCGATTACATAAACCCCGCTCCCGAAGTTTAGCGCCTGCGCCGGCCTGGAGATCTCGATAACAGCCGCCGGGAAGCTTGAGTATTCTCTTGGCACATCAACTTCAATTCTTTCAACCTCCAAAACTTCTATACGAGAAGAGTACCATCGTCCAAAAAGCCCAATGCTATGCTATACCGTGTCCTCTGTGATGCTCTCCAAGATTTTCCCTCTAGGTATACCTGTGGATGTATCCTACCCGTCCATCCATCCCACCCACCGTCTCTCAGCTTGAATCACGGATTACCGGCAATGACGAGCGATGTCCCGGCCTCTTCACACTACCTGACCGACCGAAAATGGTAGCCACAAAGCTCTTCTTCTTACGTGCTGTCCTTGGCTGGCTTTCCTCCTGTGGGGGTCCTTCCTTATCTTTTACATCAGGCTGAGCTGCTCCCGGTGATGACGGTGAGCCTGGAATAGGCGGGAGCGCCTCGTCAGCGCTGGTGGGTGGTGTAAGTTCTCGGTTATGAAACCCTGCCGCCGATGATGATCGAAAGTTTGCCATTGACTGTAGCGCATCATATCAGTATACTGCTGGCAGAATGAGCAATCGAGTGGCCAAGACAGACCTTGGCACTCAACTTCCTCCTAGCCTTCAAGCCTCTGGATATGGCTCCCTGTGCCTCATCCAATGTCACCTTGGCACCACCTCCCAGACCTATACCGTATATTGTCTTTTCCAGCTCATCAATCTCCCCGGCCATTGTCTTACCGTTGCATGCCAAATGCTCTTCCTTGGTAGGGACGAACCTCAGGAAACCCCTCGCCGGCACTACCCCAATAGCCTCTTCC